TTACACTTATCCTTGTCCGGCGCTCCTCTTCTCAAACTTATCATCAGTTGCCGTCTTCTACCTACCATCCCCACAAAACGCAGTCTTTTTCTACTGTTGCTCTTCCACAATGACCTTCACCTTTCTCCTGTGTTCCGCAATAATAGAATAGATTAATAAAAATAGAAACAATATTGCCGAACATAAAAAAAAGGAATTCAAGATCGTCGCCATCTTTAAAATATATCAAGGTGCAATGCCCGACAATCTAAACATCCGGTCGTAAAAGGAACTAAGTCTCCTTGATTGTTTCGATGTGAACACTGGTAAAATGAGTGCTGAGAAAACACGAACTCCAACTCTTTTCCAAAATATCTTGCCACGTTTGTATACAAGGCAACTGTGAAAAACTACCACATTTATCAAAGCAAATTAACTGAACTGAGTATGTTTGAAAAATAAGAAACACTGTAAATACTGCTTAAAAGTTCACTTTTAAGAGATTTAGAAAGATCAAATACTTTTCCAATTGAGGTAGTTTTATTTTTCAAGTAGTGTAGTATGCCTGTGGAACAAATGCCAACTAGTATTGTGGAGGTTGGAACTTTATGAGAGCTTATTAAACAAAAGTTGATTAACATTTAGGTGATCAAAACCGTATTTGATGATTAATTTTATGTCTGTCGAGGAAGGTTGAGTATAAGGATATCTCTGATGACCCAAATAACTCCTTGATGTCCTAAAATTTATAATTTGGAACAAATTTCATCCATGATACCCCATCTTTAAATATGCATCAGCCTTGTCCAGACAAATTGAGACTTACGCTATTATTAATTACAATTTCATTTCTTATCTTGTGGTTCAATGCCTCGTTGTTCTTGTTCAGAATTATTTAGCGCATAACATTTACATTGGTTGCTGTATTGCAAGAATTATAACTATCTTTTGGAAATCAGGTTGCCTAAATACCATCAGGCTAAGTTATTCAGGTACATGTTGATGCCGTGACTAAAGATCATGTTTATTGTTAAGTGTTGTCTTTTAGTATCTTTCCTTTTATGTTTCACTTTCTTGTCCTATAAAGTTTGTAAAAACATTATCAGCAAGGAAGAACTCTTTCTAAGACTACGTATAACGTAGCAATTTTTGAAATAGAACACAATTTGAGAGAGTAACAAGGATAGAGGAGCCCTTCTCCTAGACCAAGAGCTTTTGCCAGTCGTGGTGAAAGCTATATCTGCATTTTCAATCCATTTGCTTGATCAATAGCTTTATGGAAGCTAAGAAAATCATTGGCATCCACTGCACAACTTTTGTTGATTACCTATTACGTGCAAAAGTACAAAGTTGCAAAATCGGATTATGGTGGCAATAATCGACCTGATTGTCCTGAAATTCACTGAAAAGGCCTTGGCGGAACTCCAAGGCATTCGTTAATTAGCTCAAGAATTTGTCTTATCGAATAGATTGATTTCACTGTCACTCTTATAACTCCCCAACGGCTCTAAAGTGGAGAGTATTTTTGCGGCAACTGTATGCAAATCATGAATCCAATTTGAGTTACTTGTGGTCAAAGAAAGTTTTGCAATCCGAGGGGTGTCTGAATCTTTACCTGGAAGTGCCTAAATGCCAATATACCAAGAGGACAGGATATTGTCACGATTCAGAAGATTATTGGTGCAGTCAGGAGCCTTTCCAGCACTAAGGTACACTAACAATATTCTGAGACTGCATCCATTAAATGAGATGAACTTGGAATATAATAACGACGTGTATCTCTATACATCACTATATTCTTCCTTAGACGTTGCCAAACGACACCTCATTTGTCAGGATACAAGCATCATCAGACATTGGGAGGAGGATTATTGCCTTCCCCCATACACGACAATTATTACAACCACACAGAAGTAAAAAAGCTGGTAGTAGATATCTGATCTGTAATATCATTTATTTATGATGGTGATGTGGAATAGATAAACATATATAATAGTGTCTAAGGGGATAACAAAGAAGGATTTTCATCATTTCCTCTAGCTCTTTAATAAAGTTTTGTTTGGAATGAGTGACTTTAATAGTGGTGCAATGTGTGCTGCTGGGCTTAGAAAGGCTAGTGCGTGACAAATTACATTACTTGGACGAAGAGCAACTCGAACCTGGTTCTGTTTTATATTGCAGACTGGATCTGACGAAGAACCAAATGATCTATAAAGCTGAGTTGAAAGTTCAAAGCAATAGTATCATAAAATTTTAGCTACTTAAAAAGAGAAGCCATTCCCTCCTTGTCACAACTTCAACCCTTTACTTCAAATACTACTTAAGAAATAAATATTTTGACATTGGTCTAATTTGGAAGAAACTTAAAGGACCAAAAGCTTAACTAAAAGAAGCAGAGAGGATTTACATCTTCTTGTCGCCCATGTCCAGTTATGAAGTTTGGGCAAGCACGTTTAAATGCCAAAGTACTGTGAGATGATGGAAAATATTCTTCTATTTACTCGTGCCTGCTAGACAAATTACGTCATCCTATTCATGTATAGCATTGAGCAACTTCTGTCCATTGTTTTCGAAATATCACACCTAAATTATGTTCTTCCTCTCAGAAAGTGGAGCATTATAAGTCAGAAGAAGTAAGGATTAGAACAAATTATAAATGCAGACACAGCCTTGAACTTCCTAAATATTGCTTTCGGTCAAATAGTGGAAACTGGAGTATGATATGAACATCACGAAGTGAAGTAATACGAGACTTCTTTGATGTGACAGGGATTGTTCACCCCAATGAAACTAATCAAGAGCTAAAACAAAGAGACAGCAGAGATCTACTAATCCTGCTGTACACAGTAGAGAACAAGATTATCTCATTTGAAGAACTCGGCAAAAATGGTACAAGAAATTTCATATGTTCTTCCAAAGTAACAGTTATTTCGAGAAGCCTATAATAAAGAGGAAGATGAGGAACTTTGCTGCAAGATACTGCCACAAAAATTTCGAAGTTAAAACAAAAAATTCTCGAACTCGGTGGTTATAGGGACTTGTATGGGATAGATACTCTCTTTTTTTCTAGTAATATCAATCAAGATGGGCCTAAGCATTGTATTTACTTATCCCCTGACTCCAGTTTTGGTCTCACTTGCCAACATTGATAGGTCAATGAAGTCTACAGTCAAGTCAACTCTGATGATATTTTTAGGAGAAAAGATCAAAAATAAAAACTCGGAGTTAACAACAAGCAGCGTCACTATCATAGACGCGAGGTTTTTTGTATACTTTGCATGACAAACCTGCTAGGGAAAGTTAGTAGTGTAGTCAGAGATATCCTTTCACTTGCATGTTTAAACATTATAATAAATCCACCCTGTCAATGATATATTTAATGTACCATCAACCAAAACGAGGCAAGTGCAAAGATGGCTACTGGTGTACTGTTGTTGACTGTCATATTATAGGCCTGAGCATGGCCAAAACACTTCAGTGCACCAAAATCATCTGCCAGCTTAAAGACATCTCTTCTTCAATTTCTTGAAACAGAATGGGAAAGCAGTGCACACCATGAAGTATTAAGAAGAAAACAAATGATCGTTGCATTTCAGAATGAATGTCACAGATATACTTCTAGAGAAAATTATGTTAGAAGTTCAGATATACTAGAAATTGAATCATCACATCACATTGAGGATACAGCAATTTGTATGCATCAGCAGGATTATAAAGCAATAGAGCCAAAGTCAAAAGTTATACTCTATTGTCAGAACGTACGTTGTACACCCATAATAGATACCTTGTGACTTAAGTGGGATATTCGCTAATAACACAAAATGGTTTTTCATTGTAGGTACCATAGTAACATCAACGAATCCCACTCTTTGTAAAGCACTGCTTAACCTGCATGCTTTCACAGGGTCAGACTATATGGTCTCATTTAAAGAGAAAAGGACAGTTAAACCATGCAGTGAGAAAATTGCAGGTGCTTTTGCAAACATAGGGACAGAAGAAAATCTAATAATATGATATAGCTGTATATGAACAGAAATGCACAGTCATCAACAGGGCAAAACTGACTATATTCAATCGAAAATTTACTTCTATAGATAATAATTAAATATAGCAGATATTCATTATTTTAGCAATAATATTGATGATTACTACCGCAAAATATGCTCTTGCTATTAAATGTTTTAATTCATTTTTAGTTAGATAAACGTTTAACCAACTGTTTTGTAAGAAGCAAAAGTGTTAACTAGTAAAATGTTAAATTCTAATTTTTAAACTTTTATCGTTTCATGCTCATGCTTTTTCAATAAAAATAAAAATAGCTTGCACTCAGCTTCCTTGGTTTTAAAACTTAAACACTTTCATAATTTTTAGACATCTTAAGCTTAAACTCTGTCAATAGTTTCAACCATTTGAATAACGCTACAACTCACAGTAGAAACATCTGATGAATAGATACTACTTATTATTATATAACATAAAATTTGACCCTTTCACTAATAGAAAGTATTAAATTTTAAATGATTTAACTTATCAAGATGATAATGTGAACTCGTCAAATTATTTTTCACTGCAATTGAGCATTTTTGCTTTAGCCCCTGCTCTGCGGATACTCAGCTTTAAATTTGCTGATTTATATCGCTAAAAAAATGGGTTTCGATACACGCCGTGGGCAAAGTACAACTATCCCATTTTGTAGCTTTTAGCTTAATAATGAACAAACAAAATTTGTGTTATATGTCCATAAAATTGTAATAGCTATATTATCTTGGTATCAATTTCTCTTTCCACGTACAGAAACCAAAGTCATTAAAGTTATGAAATAAAACTATTTTTTTAGACTAGTTTTTTTTTATAAAGTATATTTATATTTTATCCAGCACAAAATAAACAAACTTTACAGTGAAATGATATAATGGAAACAAGATGAAATAGCAAAATTCGTTTTATATATTTGCAGTTTATTAGTGTGAAGTCACTCTATTAATTTATTGTAACACGAAAAAAAATTACTTATTTATTGCAGCGGCCCCTATGGACGGCGTAGAGGCTTGCTTTGAGAGTGTTCGGTCATTCGTTTCAGAGGTTTTTCAATATGGCTACTAATGAAATTGTTAGTGATTAAATTATTGATAGTCACAACTTGCTAACATGCTTGTACTTTTTATAATTGGCATATTTACGTAGTTTATCAATAATGCTATTAAAGGTCTCCTAAATAAAAGTTATGTTCTGAAAATATACTGCATAGTAAGGATCCCGAATAGCCTGAAGGTCGTTTTGACGTTAGGCTATGGGAGCCCAGCAGGGCAAGGAAAACCGTGGAAGTGGATCTTCGGTTGGCAGTGGACATGGTGGAAAGACTGGGAAGAGCTTTAAAAATAGATCTAAGGACTCTAGATTATCATCAGTTTCTGGAAATATATTTACAGAACACAATGGTGAGTGTCAAGCATAATATTAGACTTTCTTTGCTGTGAATGTGATCTAATTCTCAGTATTTATGTGTACATCATTATAATCTGAGTTGTATTTATTAGTATTAGAGTTTATTAGATTTTCTTTTAAACCATAAACCTAATTTTGCTGTTTTTTAAGGAACAATTTGTGCTTTCCATGTAGAATGCAATTATTAATTCTGCAATTTTACAAGTTACATACAATGTTTTACATGATTTGTAATTAATTGTTTGATATGAAGAAATGTGTTGCTTTATTGCATTCTTATTTTTTTCTAACCCACAAATGATAAATATGTTTAAGAATAAAGACTAAAAGTTACTACCATTTTGTGGATTGAGTTTGATAAAATAGTTTTTCTAGTTTTATTTCTATTGAAATTATTAACAAACATACTCTGCATTCCTAATAAAATTATTGTGCTTTGGAATGACATCTGTAAAAGTGAATCATTATGTTTATGTTTCACCAAAATAATATTTCTTCGCTTATTAATTAACGACTTCAAAACACAAAATATTATAAAATAAATGTTTATTTTGTATTAGTTGCAAATACATTAATTGCATACATATGAGCCAGTATGTTGTTTACATTACACAACTGTCTGTATATTTTAATTCTTAAATTCCTGAGCATTCTGTCTTTATATCTTGTTCACTTACTTTAATCCATTCCTTTAGATTGAAGTTTTTTTTTTATACATGATACAAGTTTTGTACTACTAGCTTTGATAATGAAAATACAAGATTGATTCAAGTATCCTGAGTTCACAGTCATGTTGGATCAATTAACAAGATAGCCTATCATAGCAAACATGATTATATAATATGTTGCTAACCAGTCACAACAGTATAGTCAAGTTTTTACAGTACAAAGTATTGTTCTTTTTACTTGAACTATTCCAACCTAGTTTTTATGTGCTTAATTGTTTGTATGTTTATCTTAGTTATTCAAGTACATGTAGGATTTACCATTTATCATTATTTTCAATTATCTAGTCATCACTGCTACTGTGTATTACAGTTAAGTCAGTAAAATACTGCTTGAAAAATATTTACAAGTAAATTATTAGTTTAACTTTATATTATAGTATGGTAGATGGATTTTAAAATTAGGTCTTAAATATTCTATTGTGTGCTGTTATGACTTTGTTGGGATCTGAATTGTGTAGGACTAATCTGGGTTGTGTTACACTGATCAAAATACTTAGATTATATTTATCACAAGCAGTAATATGCTTAAGTGAAATAAAAAAAATTATGTATCCAAGTATTGTTTGGTACTTTAAAAAAACGTTGGATATTATCAAGTCTTACTCAGCTTCTGTAGTTAAGAAATTATAAGCAATAAGTTAAGAACTTGATTTTGCTTCTGCTTTTAACTGTCAAGCTGATGATGAATGCAAATAAGTTTTCTTACTAGGTTATTCTAACCTGTTATTTAGAAATTGAATATATTTTGTCTTTTAAAAATTCTACAAACTTATTATCTGATAAGTCTGTGATTACCAATAAGAACTTCAGAATGAAAGTAATAAAGAGTGCATAATAATATTTCAACCATATTATATCTGCTGTATCTAGTGATAATGAGGCTTTTTTTCCAGCACCAAGGATTTCAGGCTGCCTGGGTTATTACTGATGCAATAGTGGTTGAGACCCTGTTTATACTAGCAAACAGCTTGATAATAACTGTTACCGTGTGGACTGGATTAAGTTACAAATTAACTAATTCTTTATTCTGCACTATGAATAATTGAAGTGGTGATATCAGTATTCTTAGGAAAAATAGTAATTATTTGAACCTTCACAATAGAAATATAATATACTCACATAACATTACAAAATATTGGACTTGGAATTCACATAAATGCTCTAAACTTTAAAACTTCAAACTTGATAATATAAACTTGACTTAAACTAAAAATTTCTAATTCAACAATATAACCTTGACATAAGAAGTTAGGAAAAAGAACAAAAAAACAACAACTGAAAATCATCACAAAAATCTGTATGATGTTATAAAACTTTCATACTTTTTGATTGATTATAACTCAGCATTTATAAATGTGTTTCTAGCAATATCCAATCTGTTTTTTCTGTGTTTCCATTCACCTGTCATATACGTCTTAAATTATTTTTTTTTTCTATACTTTTATTCATTCCCAGATGACGACATTACAATTTAGCATGTGATTATTGTTGGCTATTGACAAAACATCTGATCATCTTACTTACATAGAATAATACATTAATTTACATATAACTGTGTACTATACCTATTGCAACATAAACCTCAGCACCAATGTATCTCTTGTAACTCTTAATAGGATGTGAGCCATCAGTTTGCATGAATAAACTCTAGAGAAAGCTTAACAGGAAGAGGTATGTAAATATGAACATAATAATAATAAAAAACAATTAAGGAATACCACTCACAATTGTTAAAGAATTCAAATCTTGCAAGATAGTGTCTTAGGAATGAATTGACATTTTGTAAGATAGTGTCTTAGGCCAGTTAAATGAAATTCTTTATCTCTCCACCTCAAATTTAACATTCCCTTAATATTTGTTCTTTGCTCTCCTTTTTCTTGCCATTCTGTGCCTCATTTTTTTATCCGCCCTGTTTATTGGCTTCTGGTCCTCTCTCCCAACTAAGATGAACACTGGGCCAGTGCTCCTTCTAAGATATTTTTGATCAACAGAAGGTGTGATAGAGGGTAGCCGATTCCTCAGCTTTGGATATTTTTCGTTGGGTTCTTGTCTTAGAATGCACAGTTTACTAAAAGGACAGCTCCATTAAAAAAAATTTCTGGTACAAGGTTGAAGCAATTGGATATTGGCTATAGTGAATTAAACACAAGGTCATGGGCCATTCCACTTTGTTAAAATGGAGAGGTTCATAGATTTCACAGCAGAAGTAGCATGTAATGTTGCATCTATAGCTATCCTTTCAGTTAATTATGTGACAGAGTGAAGAATGTGTAAGTTTCCTTTTAAATACAGTTGGAAACCTTTGTCCTAGAAATAAACACTGGAGTTTAAAAGTCTTCTTCATCAGTAATAAATAGTTTTTTTAAATCAGGCCCAGCTCTTATCAGTATATTATAATTATTACATATAGTACTGTTGCACCTGTTTCGAAATGAAAATACTGCTGAAAGTCAATAATGAAAATGCACAGGTGAGAGAGATAGATAGTGGTTGCAAGAAGAAATTTTACTGATTATGGTTTGACAAAGTAGCGATGCTTTAAGTCAAAAATGGCAGTGGAAAATAGAGCTGAGTGATTAGTAGAAATTGTTTTGATAATTGATTAATTATCAAGCTTACTTATCAGTTACATTCATCTAATTATTCTCAAAATACGTGGATAGTTGTAATAATTGGAAACATTTATTTGGATTAGTCGATCATTTTTGTGAGTTGTGACACTAATCGGTTAAACTGAACAACCTTGAATTAATCGAAAATAATGATAAATCGTAATGGAAATAATTTGTTTACTTGGATAGTTGGAATAATCAAAAATAATAATAAATGGAAACACTAATTTCAATTTGTTGATTATTTCCTTGACATTATTTTTATCCATCAGTTACTTTATGTAACATTAAATTAATATGATTGATGCTTATAGGCATTCGATTAATCAAATTAATTGCCCAGCTCTAGTGGAAATGTAGAAATGTGACATTCAAACTCGGTTACTTTATCTTATATTAATAATGCTCTTCAAAGAATTAAGTGTCACGTTATTAGTGCACAGCTATAGAAGATACATACAACATCTTACCAATGATAATAATATTAGTTCTGCATGAACATCTGAATATTAAGTTAAAATGCTTTATATTTCCTTTAAAAATAACATATTTTTTTAACCCTCCCTTTTTCCAGGTTATGGCACTAATAGTTGACTTCATTGTGCTTGCTAGATTTTTTTAGCATGACTTCTTAACATTATAGTTGGGCAGTTAATCAATATAATCATTTATCTGTAAGAATCAATTACATTAATTAATGTCAGGTAAAATAATTAATTAAATGAATTTACATTAAAATCCGTTAATATCACAATGACAGAATATGTAAGGTTAATAAACAGAGCTGTATGTTTACTAACTGATTATTCAATGGCCTTATTAATTGATTAGTATAGTGTTCCTGTAACTATGGTATGAAGCAAAAAAAAAGTGAGTGATGGGTGCTGCCAGCCATTTTTTGATTTTCTACTTCCACTACATCAGGCTAGTTCCAATACTATTATTTACCTCTCACAGTTATAGCTACTCCTAATTTAACTGCCCTCTAGTGTGCAAATTTTTGCTCGTCATTAACCTTGAAACTCCCACCTACTTCCACATGTATACCATGTGGTTCAGCTGTGTTTAAGCATTTAAATTAGCAAGTAACAGTCCTCAACCAATAGGAATGCAACAAACCCTTCTATCATAGCTGATTTCCTGTGCAGGTGAACCCAGTCTTCACTTTTCGATTTGGCATGATAGCGTTAAAACCTAGTGCTTGATTTCAAACATTTGTTTTTCAAGCTGGGAGTACCTATTCCTCCTCCTCATTCAGATATCCACATCTTCAGGGATGCCTTCTGGTCAAGATGGGGTGTATGCTGCAATGCATAGGAGATCTTGCGCCATTGGTCTCAGGAGGAATTGGGTCTTCACATCAACATTTTGGAACTCCTTGCTTTTCAAACATTGTGGGTCATAGGGTGACTGTCATCTACCTTTCATTTTTTCCTCTCCAGTTATTTTCCTTCCTTCCATATTTATTCCCAATATAAACCAGATTGTCTACTGTGTCTGGTTACAGCAGCCTTACTATGCTCTCACTCCCATTTTTTCAAATGACTTGTGTGGAATTATGTAGATGGTCTGTTTTCTACCTTTTAGGAGTTTGTTTCATTATTGATAAAAACTGAGTGATATTAAAGAAGTTTATAATAATATCTCAACCAT